ATGGTAATAAATAATGCACGGAAAAAGACCTTAACGCTGGAAAGTTTGTACGACCAGGTCGAATCCCATTTAAGAGCCTTGGAATCATTGGGCGTCACTACACAACAGAATGCCTCATTTTTGTACCCCCTAGTGGAGACAAGTCTCCCGAAAGACTTGTTGAGGATATGGCAAAGAAGTGTACTGGCGGGGTATAGTGAGGACGAAGAAGAACTCCCAATAACAATAGACCAAAGATTACCGCGACTCCTCCAGTTCTTAAAGAGAGAAGTTAAGGGAGAACAACGGATTGAATATATGAGAGAGGGGTTTGGGTAATCATTATATAGAAGGAACTATGGCCAACATGTAGCCAGAATTCACACCGCTCAGATAAAATATGCTCATGGTAGAGTGACTCCCCTGTGCCTAAGTTGTAAAGAAAGACATTGAATCCAGGACTGCGCAAGTTGGCGTTCCACGACAGTGACCAAATGAATGGATGAAATGAGAAAGGTTAAGGCCTGCTTTCGCTTTTTGCGAGTGGGCCATATGAGGGAAACCTGCAGAACTCAAATACGATGCTCTCAATATAGAGCCCTGCATCTACCAAGGCAAGTATCAATGGACAATCGTGATCATGGGGAAAGGCGAAACACTGAGGAGCCGCGGGCCTCGACAGGTGAACAGGATTTCGCTTTATCAGGAATGCATGTGAGAACGGCCATCCCAAAGGCCTTGTTGGCGACAGCTCGGGTTCGCATAGTCGGCCCTCAGGCCGTAGGAATCACTATTCGGGCGTTGCTGGATCAGGGGTCTCAGTCGTCCTTTGTCCACCAAGATCTTCATCACTTAACTGCTCCGGTACAAAAGGTCAATGCACAAATCTTCGGGATTAACGGGAGAGCATGTTAAACAGATGGTATCATGTTCGGTGGAATCGTTGACAGAGTCAGGTTGGACTATACCGATTAAGGCGTTGGTGGTGGGAAGAATGACTGGGATATTACCTATCGGGATCTCCGTTTTCCTGTGCCGTCCAGCTGGAAGGCCCTGTCATTGGCTGACCCTCAGTTTGAAACAAGTTACCGAGTGGATGTAATACTGGGAGCAGACGTATATGGAAGCTTATTGCTCCCTTAATTTAAGTATTATGAGAAAACCCAGTTATGCGCGCAGAAGACCCAATTGGGCTGGATTATATCGGGAAAATTACCATGTGAAGGAGAAGGCAGCCCACACATAGTGTACAACTTCCGGGTGAATTATAAAGAAAACCTGGACAACATATTGAGGCGCTTCTTGAAGGTGGAAGAGTTCCCCATTAGACCTGCCAAGTCGGGCGCAGATTAATTATGTGAAGAATTATTTAAGACAAAGGTGAAAAGAAAACATCTAGTGGGCGATTAATCGTTCCTCTCCCTTTTGACCCGAAGGTGCCAGTTCCTGAGTTGTTTGGGGGGTCGGTCTCTATTTGTGTCCAGCGACAACTTAGTTTGGAACGACGTTTGGCCGAGCAAGTGCCATCAAAGGAGGAATATCATTCATTCATTTGAGAATACATAAAATTGGGTCACATGACTCCCTTACCGGAGTTGGTGTCAGAGGATTCCCCGGGTGGTTGTTTTATACCTAATCATTTGGTATGGGGAAATCGGCGAAAGTTGCGATGTGTTTGACGCTTCCACCGTGACCTCCAACGGATTCTCCTTTAATAATAGGTTGTATACCGGTCCCAAGTTGCAAAGAGATATATTTACCATCTTAATGAATTGGCGGCATCATAAGGTAGTTATGCTGGCGGATATTGAATAAATGTATCGTCAGGTGCTGGTGTGCCCAACGGATGCTGCCCGACAGAAAATATTGTGGAGAGAGACATCTAATAAGCCGATGATTCCCTATCGGTTGAATACTATTACGTACGGCACCTCCCCGGCTCCTTTCCTGGCCCTAATAACATTGATCCAATTGGCCATTGATGAGGGTAGTCAATATCCTAGAGCGGCTGAAGCATTGAGAAAGGAAACGTACGTGGATGATATATTGACCGGGGCAGAGGATTCAGAGTCGGCCATGCTGTTGAGAGAAGAACTCATATGTCTATTACAAAAAGGAGGATTTGTTCTCAAGAATGGGCCTCCAATGATCCGACAATTCTGAATCAAATACCCGAGGGTGCCCGTCTTAAGAAAACCCAATTCGATGGCGCAGAAGTGGTGAAAACGCTCGGTTTGGGATGGAATCCAGTGGGCGATTACCTTTTGTAGTTTCCAGGAGCCTACACAAGGGGATGAAATTACTAAGCGTGGCATGCTATCGATGGTGGCAAAACTATACGATCCCATGGGATGGTTGGCGCCCGTTATTGTAATAAGAAAGATTTTGATTCAGCGGTTGTGGGTAGCTGGAAAAGATTGGGATGCACCGATAGACGGACCTATAAAATAACAGTGGAAGAAAATTCGAGAACAATTGGGATGTCTTCGAACAGTTCGGATACCCCGCTGGTTGGGCTTAAAGGGAATCCAGGACATTCAGCTGCATGGATTCAGCGATGCCTCAGAAGATGCGTATGCAGCCGCTGTATATATAAGAATTAGTGGAAGCGATGGCATCAGAGCGTAGTTGGTGGCGGCCAAGACGCGATTGGCACCCGTCCGGCGAATCTCTATTCCACGCCTGGAGTTATGCGCGGCTGTCTTGCTAACTCGCCTAATTACACACATTCTGACGGTGGTGCGACTTGATCTGGGGACTATTGTCTGTTGGAAGGATGCGAACATCGTCCTGGAATAGATAAAGACCATCGCTAGAACCTTGCCAACCTTCGTGGAAAATCGGGTATCAGGAATACAGATATGCCGCCAGATTCAAGAATGGCGTCATGTTCGATCTGGAGAAAATCCCGCTTACTTTGCTTCCCGTGGGGTTCGGGATCTATGATAGGAAGCTTCAGGTTGTGGTAGAAGGGACCTAGCTGGCTCATTTTGTCCCGGGACCAATGGCCCAAAAAGCCAACAATAACTGGCCGACCGGAAATAAGTACGGCCTTGTCGGTTGGTCTCGTGGATCAAGTTCCTTTGTTGGTCGCCTTGGGAGAACGAATTTCCTTGATCACTACTAATAATCAAGTTGTGGCCTGGATCCTTTGTTTTATTAGTAATTTCTGGGGCGGGAAAGTTCAGTCACCCACGAATCCCTCTGAAATTAAGAGAGCCCATGTTAAGATCCTCTTGGCCGTACAACAGCATTATTTTGGGGAATAACTGAAGTCTTTGAGTCGTCACAAGGTCGTTGGTGGGCGCAGCAGAATATTGTGTTTAAACCCTTTCCAGGATGAACAGGGTGTCCTCCGAGTTGGCGGGAGATTGAGATGGGCTCCGGGCATACCTTACCACCAGAAGTACCCCCGCCTTATTGCCATTAGAGGAACGGCTGAGCTAACTTATAATACGTGACAGGCACCAAGAACTCTTCACGGCGGTACGCAGCTGGTACTGTCCAATCTCCGACATGAGTACTGGATCCTAAGAGCCAAAGATCAAATCAAGAAATGTGTTCGAGACTGTGTGATATGTGTGGCCTACCAAAGGCCGCTCGGTGCATGGAGAATGCATCATTCCTTCTGGCTGTGTGACGTGGTTTTTCAGCGAAAAACCAGGGGATGCAAGGGCTTTTGCTGCCTATATCGTCCCTGGCTTTGCCGAATTTCTATTCTGTGTGATATGTGTGTGGAGAAGAAGTTTTCCCACCCTCTACAATCACTCTAGAGGGGAGTGGAGTGGAGAGGCGACTCTGCGTGTTTGCCTTACGTCGGAGTGCCACTGGCCGGAGTTAGTGAAGCTGTAAGCTGGCTTCGGCCCTTGGTTAGCTGGCGTGAGACGCACGAGTCTTGAAACTCTTGGGTCTTCGCTCTGTGTGTGCGTCATTGGGAGCGTCCTTGCCGTGCGCGAAAATTGCACCAGGGCTAGGCCTGGTGTTGAAAAACCAAGGGGTGCACACAGCAGTACCACCCCCCGCCTTCGCGTTGGTTCCCCGCGTAAACCTCAGAACCTCAGAGGTCCTTGACTCGACGGCAGATTCAGGGAGTACTGTGATCAAAAGTTCGAGGGCCAAAGGGGGGGAGTCCTATTGGAGCGTAGGACGGGTTTAACTAAGTCCGAACGAGAGGGCTCGGTCAGCAACCTTGCCAATAAACTCTCGGAGACGCCTGTGGGTGAATGGTCAACCCCATGGAGCCAGACCATCATTCCCTTTTGGCTGTGTGACCTGGATGTCAGCAAAGGTATTCGGTTTATGGACCTTTGAGGTCTGGGGAACTATTGCTCCTAGAATGTGTGATGTGTTCTCGGCTTGTGGACCGAAAGGTTTAGGTGGCCATCTGCTTCAAGGGTGTGTGATCTGTTGCCGCTACAATCGAACCACCCAACATCAATTCATGAGCGATTTACCAAAGGAACGGTTGACCCCGGGAAAACCATTCACGGTCAGTGGGGTGGATTATGAGGGGCCCATTCAATGGAAATCATCTGGAGGTAGGGGATGAAAAGTCGGAAAAGAATACATCCGCTTGTTCGTTTGTTTTGTTACCCGGGCGGTGCAGATAGAATTGGTTACGGATGCCTCAACGCCTACCTTCGTGGCGGCTTTTATAAGATTTGTGGCTCGCAGAGGACGTTGCAACAAGATTTACACTGACCAAGGTACCAACTTCGTGGGGGCGGCCAATAAATTGCAGTCGGATTTTTTCTGTACCGACAGCAATTAAAGGAGTTGACTGCCATCTTGGCTAATGGCGGAACAGAGTGGCAGTTCAATACTCCGGGTGCGCCTCATTTTAGAGGCCTTTGGGAGGCGGCATAAAGTGTTTGAAACATCAATTACGGCGAATTGTAGGAACTACAGTGCTAACTTATGAAGAGATGTTAACTGTCCTCATTCAGATTGAATCCTGCTTGAATTAAAGACAAGAGAATTATATTGTATTATAAATCACTTTATTTACGAACGGAAAAATCTGTCCAGGGTAGCCTAGTGGACATGGCATCTGCCCGGTAAGCGGAACATTGTGGTTTCGATTCCCACAGTATTTTTACAGTAAAGGTTGTAGATAAATTTTAAAACTAAAAATCTAGAGAAACATGAAGGAGATAGAGGAAATTTTGTTCAAACTTAGTTATCTCGTGTATCTTCAATGAAGGTCACCGTGTATCAAATATGTTTCAGAGTTATTGTCTGATTCCCGATATACATGCTATGATCAAAAAGTTCGGGGAATTAGTCAAAAATATTCCTGGAAGAGTTTTACAAGTTAAATTCTTTTCACTCAACATTGCGGCTGCTCGATACCATGGTTATAACAACTCAACTATATGCTTCTCCAATCTGGTCAGATGAACAAGAGTTAATATCGAATGAAACACAAAATACCTTTCTGAGACGATATCTTAATCTCCCAAATTATACCCCAGGATATATTTTAAGGATAGAAACAGGAAAAACAACTCTCGCAGTGATAGCAAAGAAATTATTGTTAAATTCCTGGCTAAGAATGTTAAATATGGAGATTACGAGATCACCTTCAACCTGTTTGGCTCACTTGAGAGATTTTTATACCTCTACAAGACAAAATATTGGATTTACAAAGAGTTTAACAAATACGGTAAATAACGCCGGTTTCTAATGGCTTATTGGAATCTCGGATCACTATATATTGTAAAGTTATATTCCTTTGAATATTTGGACAATGCCAGATCAATCGATACAAGAAGACCAATCAAGAATGAGAAATTCAAAACTTTATCGACATTATAAAAAATTACATACATCAATAGAAACAGAATGCTACCTTACCGATGGTTTCCCTCTGCCAGTCAAACGATGCATAGCTCAATCGAGAATACTATTTACAGTCTTAAAAAAACACGTTCTGACGTTTGAGGGCAAAAACTTATATGTACACTGTATGACGAGGAAATTACTGAAGAATTCCCCATTACCTGCTTAATTCTACAGCACTTGATGCAGAAATGAAGGCCGTATATCAACAAATCAAATGTACCAACACTTCACCCTAAGTATTGCTTTCAAAATTATCAGCAAACAAATCTAAGGCAATAGCTCACTATAATTTTTTTAGATCATCATTATGTAAGGACCAGCCAACAAGTGAATGACTTTGAGACGAAGATTAAAGTTAGTTCAATTTCTATGTAAATAACACAATATGATTGTTACCTTACCCAATTGAGAGAATCTTTATGTGGCAAGTCCCTAATAAAGGCTTTTGTATGTGCGTGTATTTCTGGAAGAATTTCCAAAAAATAAAAATTATCATCATAAGACCTCGTTCTACTATGAAATATTTAAATATTTTCGATATCTCAAATAATAAGAACTTTATAGGCATTTTTTAAAGAAAAGAAACTAAGGCGCGGCGTTTTATTACAATGGATCTTAAAAGTGAACAAAGGGTATGCATAAATTTTGTCAAAAATTAAGAAAAATGGTGTCAAAAACGTTTCAAATGTTGAAATTGGCGTTCGGGGAGACAGCATTATCACAATCAAAAACGTTTATGTGGTTTGCCCGTTTCAAATCTGGTAAAGAGTCAACCCAAGATGAAACACGCCAGAGAAGACCTCCTTTAGATAATCACGAAGAACAGATCCAAAAGATGTGTGCTTTAATAAGGAAAGCATTAAGACAACGACCAGAGAACTAGTAGAAGAAACTGGGGTTTCATATGGAACGTGTCAAAATATATTGACCGAGGATCTTGACTTGAGAGAAAACTTTCGAAATTTGTTCCAAAAATTCTGTGATAGGCCCAAAAGGAGGAAAGAGATAATGCCTGCGAAGATTGGCTATTGAAAATCCATGAGATCCAAACTTCCTCACAAAGGTGATTACTGATGATGAAACCTGGGTCTATGGGTATGACCCAGCGACCAAACGACAATCGAGCCAGTGGCTCCCGAAATATGCCCCCAAACCGAAAAAAAGCAACAATGTATAAGTCAAAAACAAAGATTCTCTTGGTGACTTTTTTCGATCACCAAAGCATTGTGCATTATGAATTCCTCCCACAAGGGCAACAATTAATCAACACGTGTAACTAGCGATTTTACGCCGTTTACTGGAATTAATACGGGAGAAAAGACCGGAAAAGTGGATCTCGGGCGAATGGATGCTTCTAACGATAACGCCCCAGCACACAGAGCTCTTTCCATGGGTGCTTTTTTGACTAAAAATTGCATAATGAAAATGCCTTATCCCCCGTACTCGCCTGATTTAGCACCATATGACTTCTTACTCTTTCCTAGAATGAAGTTAGTTTTAAAGTATATAGATTTGATACCGTCAATGCCATAAAGAAAAATCGCTGAGCGTTTTGAGGGACATTACTTCTGAAGAATTTTCTGTGTGCTTCCGAAACTGGGAAAAAAGAATGAAACGTTGTATATATTCCCTCGGACAGTATTCTGAGGAATATTACCCATTTTTTCATCTATTCATCTAATAAATATTTTATGAGCCAATTCCCCGAATTTTATTATCATACCTTTTATGTACATGCTCAAGGGTAATAGTTCCTTATGGTTTATCCATGAGTGTATATAATGCCTTATTATTTGCAAAATATCATTTCAGGGATACGTTTCTTACAGATATAAATAATTTAAGAAACGTATCCTTTAATGAATTTCTACTCTCTTTTTCGAAAGGTTAAAGTAACAATTTTTCTTTTACAACTCAACATTATTTTCTTGATTAATCAAGAAGTATTTTATGATTAACTCAGTGGGTCATTACCGTACAGCTTTTCACCACGCTGACCAGAATCAACATTCCAAAACGTATACGTGTTAGACTTTTAAAAATCAAGAAATAACTGTCGTAATATTGTTACACCTTGAGATGTAGATGGTTTTTGTTCAGCGGTTTCTATTGTACCGTAGAATAAACCAGAACGAGTTCGCATCAAAAAGCTAACGCTTTATTTTGATATGGTTACAAAAAGAATAATGAAGAACGCCGGCGCGAGGTCACGTGACGTCGCGAGCGCCGCTGGCTGCACAATGTTAGCAATGAATAAACAAATCAACCTTGATTTGTTTAATAAGTTAAATTATTAATGAAAATATTTACATGAGTCTATTTCGGCTGTGGAATTTCTCCCTCCTCCGAAATGGTCGTGTCATCACGACAGTCTTCTGTTCTCTCAAAGTAGGGCTTAATTCTGCTAATATGAACTATCGTTGGCTTTGTCCGGTTCCCAGGGTTGTCTTTTGGTAAAACGGAGTAATTTAAATCGGATAGTTTCTTCAATATGATGTATGGCCCGAAATATCGTCTAAGGAGTCTATCACATTTTCCAGGCTTTCCGATTGGGGTCCATACTGATACCAAGTCGCTTGGATTGTAGCTTGCTTCTCTATGTTTTTTGTTATAATAAGTTTTCATTTTCTCCCCACATTTTTTATCATATTATTTTTCACAATTTCCTTTGTTTTAGAGATTCTTCCCTAAAAATTATTTACATACTCATTATAGTTGGGTGGATCAGGTTCAATGAAGATATTAATGCCGTCCAATATTAAGGTAGGTTCTCTTCCATATAATAGGAAGAACGGGGAATATTTGGTAGATTCATGTACTATCGAGTTATAGACGTGAGTTATAAACGAAAGGATATGGGTCTCAATTCTTCTGATCTACATTCACATATAGACTTATCATATCTATTAACGTTCTGTTTAAACGTTCTGTGAAGCCATTTGACTGGTGATGGTAACTTGTAGTAAAACAATGTTTGATCTTGCATATTTTCATCAGTTCTTTCATCATATTACTGGTAAATTGGCTTCCTCTATCGCTGATAAGGTAACGCGGAGCTCCATTTTCTAGAAAATATCTTCCGTTAAAAACTTAGCCACTTCTTTCGCCGTGTCATCGAGGACAGCTTTCGTCTCTGCGTATTTTGTGTAGTAGTCTGTTAGAACTACTATCCACCTCTTTCTGTTCATTGTAAATGGTAAGGGGCCCAGAAAATCTACTCCAATCCTTTCGAATGGATAATATGAGGTAGGGATCGGTTGGATTAGACCAGCAGGTAGTTGATTCAAACCCTTCCTGCTTTGGCACAGATGATATGTCTTAACAAAATCAGATACATATTTAAGCATGGTAGGCCAATAATACTTGCTTTTTTTTCGGTGCATGGTTCTGGCAACACCCAGGTGCTCATTCAACATATGGTTGTGGTGGTCTATCAAAATGTCCTTCCTTTTTTGTTTTGGCACCACTAGCAACCATGCTCTGCCTTAAGGATTTGGATTTTTCCGATAGAGATATCCCAATTCTTCTTTGAAGTTCTGTTTGTATGATCGTTTGTCTTCGCTGAGGCCTCGTTTTACAGTTTTTATGAAGTCGTCCTCCTCATCTATTATCTGATTCAAAAATATAGTGTCGTAATCTTCCTCCCAATCTATTTCTGGAAAGAGTCCTCTGGATAAGCCATCGGCGTCGAGATGTTTATTTCCCGATTTATATATAACGTCGAAATCGTATTCTTCAGATTCTTATTCTTCTTTCAGATATTTTAACCAGCATAGTGCGTGGTGGTCTGTTATTACCTTGAAATGTCTTCCATATAAGTACGGTCGTAATTTATTCATTGACCAGACAACTGCCAAACATTCTTTTTCAGTTGTTGAATAATTTTTTTCCGGGTTACTCAGAGCTCGACTTAAATATGATATGACTTTTCTTCACCACCAATATTTTGAACCAATGTTGCTCTTATACCGATGTTCGACGCGTCTGCGTGAATGTTGGTAGGTGCATAGGGATCAAAGTGAGATAAATTTGGTGGTGTCATTAAAGATTATTTAAGAGTTCTGAATGCTTCCTCTTGGGGGTTTGTCCAAATAAATGGAACATCCTTTCTTGTTAACTTGATCAATGGTTCAGCAATTTTTGCAAAGTCTCTAATAAATTTTCTGTAATACGAGCAAAGTCCTATAAATGATTGAATCTCTAAGTTCTCCTAGGTACTGGGAAATCTCTAACGTCTCTAATGTTGTGCTCTGCAGG